AGTCGAGCACGTGAATTATAGTGTTTGTTTAAGTTATAGCATGACTGTGGAAATTAAGTGTATTGCAAAGTTGTATTGAGAAAGAATAAACCAGTTTTATTTAAGAAAGGACTTGTGTAGCTAAAGATTCATCAGAAATAAATTATAAGGGAAATTAACTAACGACCAGAGACGTAACAATACTTCAACATGGATTTTAAGTTACTATTATAGTCCAATCAATCTATTTCATTACTGAAACCTAATCCATATTGAATCCTACACAGTTAATAGTCCACTGCTGTTAAAAAATACCTATATAATCATACATGATGAATAGTTCAAGTTAAAACATACTTCATTTTTAATAATTCATAGACGACATTCTAATTCTATATCAAAGGTCACAAACAATTAACATTTTATTTGATAATTAACAGATGTTACTATCGAAGGACCTACCATACCATACCTGGCAAAGTAAGCATGATCAGACTTCCAATGAACAAACTCAAGCAGATAAATCCCAAGAGACAGACTAGCTAAATGAAAACAAAGAATATATAACATACTACAAAGACTGCTTTAGCTCTTAAATTTTCATAACAATTTGTGGTTTATTTTTCATCAATTTTCAACTTAGACTAAATATTTTATAAATCTTAGACTGTGTTAGAGGATTTTACAAAACCCACAAATAATAGTATCCACTTAAGGAACAGCAAATTAGTCCAAGCTGTGGATTTTTTATTTATCAAAGGCTCAACATTAGCAAACTATGTCCTTTTATTTACTACAAAGTTACTACCAACAAATCTAGAGAGAATAATAAGAAAACACCACATCAATTCTGATTATAAACTCAGCCTCTCACTCCAGGATGTCTCTCTTGATCCATTTTAAATATATTTTTCTTCTAACAAATAAAAATACTTAATGCAATGTCAACACAAACAAGCAATTGCCACAATAACATTTGTTATTCTAAAGACATTTTCAAAATATGCTATTTAAAAAAACGTTTTCAGTGTATAATGGAACAGTATGTAGTAATTTATTTTGATTAATGGCCTGAAGATAATTAATGTCTATATGTATTTTGATAGTATTAAAATTAGGATTAAGTTTCTTACATTAATTGTACTAAAAAAATTCTAGTAATTCATCAAACATTTCTATCTTTATCAATATTGAAATGCAGCTAATTCAAGTGGAAAGCTGGATGTTTAATTCTTAATTTGAAAAGCTTCCTACAGCAAAGTATTTTTTTTATGTTTCCTTTCTTTAATTTTGACTTAAACTCTAACAAAAGAGATCAGTTATCAGTCAAGAACCTGTAGTTACATAAAGTGTTACAGAAGTAATCTTACTCTAAAAGCAAAAAAACGTGGTTGATAGTATGGCTGAAAAGTGACTGGTCCAGCGCCGTGGAGCATTTCTTGATGAGCAATCCCCAGGGGTTGTACTTGAAATCCATCTGGCACTGGATTCCCTTGATCTCCAACATTAACATTGGGCCTTTCTTCTTGAGCTTCCTGCTCCTCCCTTGGCTGTTTGTCATCCTAAAACATGACTATTAATGTCTAGCTTATAAAATTAAAACACAACTTCATAATACTAAACATACATAAACTCACTGAGCCTTTACTAACACCTACATAAATCAGTATGCAATGAATAACTCAGTAAACAATGCATGTAATTACTTATGTTTTACTAACACCTACAAAACTCAGTAAACAATGGATATAGTTACTCATGTTTTACAAACACCTACAAAACTCAGTAAATGATTCATGTAGTTACTGATGTTTTACTAGCATCTACATAGCTCAGTAAATGATTCATGTAGTTACTCATGTTTTACTAACATCTACATAACTCAGTAAATGATTCATGTAGTTACTCATGTTTTACTAACATCTACATAACTCAGTAAATGATTCATGTAGTT